AAGCCTTTAAAATAATTTTGTCACGTTGTAGGATATGTAAACTAAAATAATTTTTTTAGGTTTTTATTATATACATTTGAATAACTAAAAAATAATAAATTACTACATTAATACTACAAAATTCCACTATAATTATCAAGCTTAGTAACTAAGATGTATTTTAGCCTAAAAAAATATGAAATTTCAAGAAGACTAACGACACACCCTACTTCGTTGAAATATTGGTTCAAAAGAAAAATTGGTGCCAAGACCTTTAAAATGGGTGAGAGAGCCACTAGGGGACATTCTGAGCTTCTGATTGGTTATTCATGTCATATATAGAAGTAAGCGTATATAAGGGAGTGTTTCCAAAAATGGAAAGAGGTAGGAGGGGTGCCACTGTGTTTGATTTATTACATGAGCAATATCTTAGCAAATTGAAAAGATAAGAGGCTCTTATTTTATATTCTAGCTTGTCAATATCGGTAACTTGAGTTCCTAATTCATAGGAAACTATAGACTTAGTATTTAGAAATCACAAGCATCTAATTTGAACTAATGCTGCATTCAACATACCACGTGACACACAAAAATCAATGTTTATCTGTTTTTTTTATATTTGCTTTTAAATTAAGAAATTGAGAAATATATAGTTCTAAAATTTGAATTTTAATCTCCAGTTTGATACCAAAGTTATTGACATAAATTCATAAAATAGTAGTTCAATAAAATTTTGGATGCGAGTCTACAAATGAGATGACATGGCCTTTCACCCATGACTCGTCTCGAAAGGGTTAAAGTTCAGCAGAATTTGAGAAAGTCTTCAAAAATTGTAGTGGTTGAAAATGCTTTTTTGATTATATGATTAAATAATTTAGATCCAGCCAAATTCTTAAGCTAATAAGCCAAAAAAATGTTAAAAACTGATGGACTCATCACTAAAATCCTTATAATTTGTAGTTGCTGATTAGCCAGCAACAAGTGAGAAGTCTAGAGGATAAACTGAAGGAGCAGAATGAAGAAGTGAGCCAAGCACACAAAAAGGTTAAAGACATGGAAGATATAGCAAATCAGCTTCAAGTACAAGTAGAACGAGGTGATAAAGAACTAAGTAAAGTTCGGAAAATGGAACATGATAAGGCAGAGCTAGAGCTTGAAGTTGATCGCCTCAAGCAAGAAGCACTGCAGGTAAGGAAAAATGGTTCTTTTTGAAGAGACTTGAAGCTGTTCCTCTGAACATGCATGTGAGCATGTGTTAAGAGTGGTCATTGTGGTACACATAACTTTATAGTTCTTCTCTTCTGTTTGAGATAAGTAGAAAGTTTGTTTTATAACATGTTTTGTTTCTTTTTTTACAAGGCATGCCTTTTTACTGAAAATTATTGGTTATTGATAAAAAACTCACAAAATTTAACATAATTGTCTATAAGCTTTGTTACATTTCAAAAAAATTATTTTCCATTTATAGAAAATTTTTATATTTACATATATAAGCTACTGATTGTACCATATATTAAAGGTTATTAGTATTTATGATATTTGCTTAAAGTCTTCTGATGCAGCCAGTAAAGCAGAGTTGTTTTCTTTGTAAATTCTGAATGCTTATTTTCAAACATTAAACCTATACTCTGTTTTCACACACTCAGTTCTTATTAAGAAATAAGAAACCTGTAAGAGTTTAAGTGACTAGCCATGAAGGTTCTTAATTTTCTTACTGTATGGTGTCTAATAATTTAATACATATCTTATTCAATATTGTGTATTGGGTTCTCTAACAAACTTTTGAGGTTAATTTTTTTGTGATTGTATTTATGATTGAAAGTGTTCAAATTCTCTGTTTGATTTTATGTAAGTGTAAACGTTCCAATTAATGTATGCCACTATTCTTGATCAATATTTTTACTGTACAATATGCTGAAGATTTAAAAAAGTCATTGGGATACAGCAGGACTAACAAGAATGTGATCAGAACGAGAATTTCTGACTTAATGGAGGGATGGATATGGTATTGATGTTAACATGCTTGGACTAGGAATAAAAGATTTCATGGTTTAGTGCTCATTGTCACAAAAATGTACTCGACACTTTGGAACTGTGAGTGCACTTTAAGAATGCTGATAAAATCCCACTATCCAGTTAGACAAGAGTAACCCCAAATTTGGGAGTTAATGCTGTTCACTAGCTGCTTTTCTTTAGTTTACCATTTGAAAATTAGAGATGGTTATGTACAGGTGACCTGTTACATTGTTTTCCACAATAAATAACTCTGACAACTTAATGGAAATGTTTTATAACAGAAATTTATGAGATCTGCATGGAATGTACAGTAGGTGATATTAAAATTTTGATTTTGGTTAGTGGAAGAATTTCTGAAGAAATAAGCTACAGAAACAATTAGCTAAATTAGTTAAATAAACATTAGGTCTATATATTCACTATTAAATCCTGTATGTTTTTCTTATTAGTTAGGATAGATATTTTCTAGAGTGGGATATCCTAATGCTGATGATGTATTATAAAGATAAACCATCAATATATAAGAGGATGTACATATTTAATATTTGAATTCAATTATATGTTGTTGTTTTACTCACTGACAGATGCATTAATTAAACTTTCCTTACAAAGAGCTAAGATTCATAAAGAATTATTATAAATCTTATCTCATCATTCAAGTAGTAAAATGTCTTTAAACTGAATTGAAATATACAGGTATTGTATTTTTCTTGCTTCTTCTATTTTAATTGTTACATTATTGCATATTTTGAATGCTTGCCATACTTATAAGGTGACAAAAATTTCCCATAAAAATGCAACAAAAATATCGGAAATTTTCAGTTTTTTCACTTGAATTGTTCTAAAGTAGTTATCAAAGCTGTGTTGCTGGTTATGATTGCTATATTTGTATGCATGATTCTTACAACAGTATGTGTATAAATTGGTAAAAGAGTGCTTATTTAGTATGTGATTTCTACTGAAAAAATTAGACATGTAGTGTGGCTCAGCAGTAAGTCTGGTGTTAGGAAAGTTTTAAGGAAAATAATTCTACATGTGATGAGTCTCCCCTGAGTCTGTCCCGATTTGGTAACCACTGCCGTATTTAAAGCTGTTTCTAAACATAACTTTTTTGAGAGTTTGTTATTCTTTAAAATATACATCCTACAATATTGGTCAACAGGATTGATTTAGTCAGTATTAATCCTTTATCAGTGCAGAACCTAGGTACTTTCAGAAATCTGCTTGATTTCAAAATGTATAGTTCTCTAGATATTCATCTCAATGGAAGAAATCTGATGATCTATTTACCAATACAATAGAGGTGATTGTGAAATATCTATGCAAACACACACACCATTTTTTTTGCTTTGTCTGTAAATAAAAATTTTTCACTTCACATTATATGCATCCAGATCCTTATCTGTATTTAGCATAAAATTATTCTCTGTTGAATTGTATGAGTTTATGCTTATATCCCAAATACTAAGTTAGTATAACTAGTTTCTGATAATTACTATGACTGGTAAACTTCAGCCAAAAATAGTATAATTTCTAGATTCTTTTTGAGATGTTGTTTTGAAATGTTATATACTAGGTGTTTGGTGATGTATGTGTTTTAGACTAACACGTACCTTTGTATTGGTAAATAGATCATCAGATTTCTTCCATTGAGATGAATATCTAGAGAACTATACATTTTGAAATCAAGCAGATTTCTGAAAGTACCTAGGTTCTGTACTGATAAAGGAAACACTGTATTGTTTACTTGCATTAGCCCCCAGTAGCTCAATGGCATGTGGGCTTATAATGCTAAAAACCAGGTTTTGATAGCTTAAAACAAACAAAAAAATTATTTGCAATAGTGTTCACCACTTGATTGGTCATTCTGTCACAGCATTTTGATGGATGGAACACCCAGACATCATCTACTTGGCTAGTGATGGATATTAAAGTCATTGACCCTTTTCTACACTAATAACCAAAGTTGCTACAACATCCTTCCAGACAGATAGATATTATCTGCTATCAAGAACAACGAAGAGAAGACAACTAAAACAAAATCATTTCAATGGTTTCCTGGACCATGTGTTTATGCCAAAGCTGCATAGAAACAGACTAACTGAAAGATTTAAAAAAATTCCTTTATTAACAAATATGATGAGAAAATATCATATACTCAAATATCACAAGTATCAAAGTTGTGATTTTTTCAGCAAAAATGGAGAGTGTTATATGGTAGAATACATGGACATAATCAAACTGTACAACTAAGCACTGGCTTAAAAGTTCAAAGAAATGGGTTATACATGTCCTAATAATAGCACTGGAGAGCCCAGTAAAGTGAGAAACAGGCTTGTCTCAGTAACTGAGACCTTTCAATGTATTGAGGAAAATATGTAAAGAGGGCTTCTGTTGAACTTAACATATCAGTATTTAAGGTTCTTAAAAATGCATCTGAACTTTCATACATACAGAATTCATATTATTCAACAGTTTCTTTAAGTAGGCTATAAAAATAGACTCATTATGAGTTCGTTTTTGTTCTCCCAACTAGATAGATTAGTATGTTATTCTTCTCTGTTGCTTTATTGTGTCAACATTCCAACTTTATGAAACATTCAGTGGACAAAACTTTTCAATATAGGAAGATGATGACAACCTACACCACTCAAGAGCATATGCAAGACTTGCTGAAAATCAGTGTATGTGATGTGCTATTTACAACAAAAGATCTGTGTTCCTATTCTATTTTATGACAAAACAGTTACTGGACTTGCACATTTGGACATCCCCTATAACTTCCTACTATTGGAAGGTAGTGGTGTTATTGACACATGTTTTTCCTAGTAATTTGGAACTTCCAATTGCATTTTGCACTTTGTGACTATGAGGCAATGAACCGGTCATGCAGGGCCATCAATCGAAATGCTATGCTCTTCACACCTAATGTCAGTGGACTTTAGGTGTAGTATAATATCAAGTCTATGATTTACACCCCCAATCATCTTGAAGCACCACAACCATCCAGAAAGAGACCACTGATAAGTCATACCCAGCTGTGAGAAGCAAAGTGTGACATCTTGTAACAGAATTATCTTCACCATTCATTAATAGTTTTGACAAACACGAGTCATGAAATTACATCAATTGTTTGCATGATATGAACCATGAAATCAGCAACTATAGCTCAACCAACTTCTCTGTTTTCCAAAGTCATTAAGTACAAAGAATATTCCCATCTCGGAAATTTTAAATCCCTGATCTGAACACATTTTTATGATGTGATATGAATATTTTGCTTCAGAAAGGGATGTTACATAGCATTGTCAAAAGCAGTCAATTTTGGTGGCATCACGCTATCTGTGAAATGGAAAACAATGTTAAAATATACTATTAATACATTCTGCTCTGTCAAAACTTTATCTCAGTTATGTTTGTATTGTAACTTACTAATTTACATATTCAAGATCACTTTAATGTACACAACCTTCTATATCTCAAGCTTCACCCTTGTTCTCTAACCCTCCAATCATCACATTTCATTGCACTCCAAGTCTGAGTAATAATAAAGTTTTCTTCTTTCATTTTGTCACAAGTTAAGCCATAAGAGAAAAAGTACTTTTTACCTTGTGACTTCAGTTTATATTAGAAATATCTGCAGGATAGATGCATGCTAACAGTTTTAACCCTAGAAATGTTAAAATTAGAACACTTAAACAGTCAATGAATTATCAGAGGTTTAATGCAGCTTATTTGGTTTATTCGAGTTTTCATAACTTTAAAGCCTTTTACACTGTTGAAATTGCATGCACTTATTTTATAAAGTCATGGATTAGAGTGTTTTAACCTCTTTCTGTGTTGCTGTCCTACAGACCAAATTCAGTAACACACACCCCAACATAAATCTACAGAAAAGACTTCCATTACAATTTTTTAGCTGAAAAAGCCACCAGACCTTAATTCAGGAGTCTAATGATGGTCTTTCCCCCACCCATTCACCTGCTGTGGATATAGTTGACTTTTTTGTAATCCCTTGATTATCATATGTTCTACTGATGTATGTCTTTGCTGACTAACAGTGTGTTCTTCCTGTTTGCTTCATGTTACTCGGAGGAAAGCTTAAGATTTAGTGTTTTTTGTTTTTTTTTTGTGTGTGTATTTACTGTTGTATTTGTTTGATTTGCTCATTGTAGACTAGTTTCATATCTGTTTATTTTTATTTTTATGACAAAGCATTTTGAGGTTTTGATTCTCACACACTATTTGGTACTGTAAGAACTTTTTAGCCATGGCATAGCGGCTCAAAGAATATCTCTGAGTTTTTCAAGTACAAACTTTTAACTCATAGCTCCATCATCTAATTTGAGATCTAATTACAGTTGTGGACTCAGGAGGTTAAACCCTTTTGAGTGATATATTTGACCAAGCCCAAGGTCTCATACATTAATTTACTCTAATCCTGCCTAAAAGAATTTCAATTTGAGGGTAGGCTGGTATAGATCCTGATAAGTAATAAAATCAAATTGAGTATGCGCCTCATACTTGGAATTGCTGGTGCACAAAAATATAGCTAATAAAAAGGAAAAAAATCTTGTTGACTAATTTACTCTAATCCTGCCTAAAATAATTTCAAGTGCTGCAGTTATTGAAGATTCCCTCTTGTTATAGCATTATGTGACATTATTTACACAAACATTCATAATTTGAAGTTTACCATAGCACTTTTTTTTTTTGGTAACTGTTCTTTTTATTACTAAATTTCAGCAAGCCTCATTGAACTAGAACCCTCTTAAATTTTAGTTTTTATGAAAAATAAATTTATTTTTAGAATTCATAATTTATTCAGGTATATCAGATATTATAAGAATTTCACAGTATTCAGCTTTACTATGCAAGTTATAAAACATTTTATTCAAGAGGAAATTTTTGTAATTTTACTTTTTTGCTGTTGTTACTTTATCTTTTTTTTTATTCCATAAGAAAAAAAATTACAATATTGATTTCGAAAAAAGTGTACATATTGATTTCTGTCTAGGTTAATATCAAAATGTGGAACCTAACGCTTAAGAGAAAAAAATATTGTTTATAGATAAAGACACTACAAGATAATTAAACTAGAAAGCTGGTGTGTCCAGACATACAAGCAAAATGAAAACTTGCCAAAGAATGTTTGAGCATTATGAACAGGTACAAAGAACTAAAACAAAAAAAAAAGAGATGAAAAAATTACTTTATTCAGAAGATGGAGACCAGGGTTCTTCAAAAACTAATATTACTTTTTCTGCCCCACCTATTTATTTATATAGTTTTCTTAATTTATAAAACTTTTTTGGCTAATTTGTTTTTCTCATTTTGATTATTTGTGGACACAACCTTTATAGTTTCATTCTCTTGTACTTACTTCACCTACTATTTTGTTTTAATTCCATCAACAATGAAAGCCAAAGTTTTACGCGCATATAGATAAAACAATGTTCTCTAAAGCAAAATATTGTTGGGTTCTTCTTTTTTGCAGAAATGGATCTAGAACATATGTTAAATAGTACTTGAATTTTCTACTAACTTGCATATTGTTGTGTATTCGTCAGTTTACTTTCTATTCTCATATTACTATTGTCACAATCAATCCACGAATGTAAAGCAGTTTTACTCAGGAGACCTATTTACAAATTTATGTCACCCAAGAAATTGTTTTTGTACTTTTTCATCTCAAATTTATTTAGACCCTGATTATGAAACTAAAGCAGCATAAACATATTGTAGAATATCATATTCAAGTTTGTTTGTTGTAGGTTATATCTGTGAATGTTCTAATATGTTGCTGGTTGAACCTGGGAAGTTTCGATTTTTTTTTTTCCCAATCAACAGAGTGCAAACAGAATGGGCCACTTGGAGCTGACTTTAAGTGACTTGACTGATGAGCACGATGCCCTTATACATACACATCAGCTCTACAAAAGCAAGGTAGAACTCTTAAATAGAGAAACAAAACATTAGAACGAAAAGATGTCAAGCCTTTAAGTGTGTTGATGGCTGCCAAACTTTTGCACAACATTTTTAGTTTTTTTTGCGTTTTGCATTAGGCTTTTATTTGCTGTTGCACGTGCATTATTGCAATGTGTTTTAAGTTCATATTTAGTTTAGAAAGATAAAAGTTTCAACATATTTTACTAGACGCCCAACTATTGATACAGTATTTGGGAATGCAAAATATTTTATGTTGGTATGCTACAGTCTACTTACTGTGATCTTTTAAATCCCAATTATACTACTGCAATATTTTTATATAAAAATAAAATATATATTTTGATCACCAGAGGCTTAAGAGGGTCAATAACATGCTTATGTAAGTTGATATTAAAATCTAACCTGCATGTTTTCTAGCTTCAATTTTGATATTTTTATGAAAAGTATGAATCAGATTAATAGTTGTGATTTGTCAATGCTAAAATAGTAAACAATAGAACAGTAAAGTGATTGGTAAACTACCTATATTAAATATTTCAGTTTTCATGAAATTTACTAAATATTCATAATGAAAAAAAAAAACAGTTACTACTTAACTTACTTTCTTCATAAAATTCCTGTTTTCCAAAACTTTTTTTAGTTTGTTATCATATAAATGATATTTATCATCATCTTTAAAGAACCTAACTCAATTATTTGTAGTTGTATAAAAGAATAGTTTTGTTGTTTCTTCAGTCACTTGCATAAACGCCTATTAGATGTTATAAATTTGAGTTGTGTAATTTGCCAATATATATTGATTTTTAAGAAGTATATAAATATATTGTGTCCTATAAATTTTTTTCATCTTGTAATAATAGAATTATAGCTGTATGGGATAACATTTTATGCTAGTGCATTATACCATAAAGGTTACATTTTTGCTTATCTGACATACACTTGTTTGAACTTGCTGATGAGGAAATTGTTAGATTCAAACATTGAGAATGTATTGTGATAATTAATAGTTGGTTTATTGAAAATACGAATGTTTCAATTCAGGTGTTAAACAACATCCATATACTTTATGTATTAACACTCTTGAAGTTTATTTCTCCATATAATTTGGCTTTTACTTAAATTAAGTTTAGTATACATCTGTGTAAGTCAGTGTATGATCTGAATACTTTATTTAAACTTTTAGTTCTACACTTGTACACCAAGTACTGATACTAAAACTTACCAGTAAATGTAACCTGGCCAGTATATATGAACTTGATACATGTGTTTCAAGTAGTGGCACTAAAACATAGTAATGTAATTATAACCTAAACATATTTAAACATTATACATGCTCATGAACCGTTAACAATAAAACATACCAGTATACATAACATAAACTCTGTTTGAACATCTGATATGTGCACCAATGGTCATCACTGAAACCTCCCTATTATATATGTAACTAAAAACTAGTTCAGTCTCATATATGTGCACCAACCAGTAACAGTAAAATTTACCAATATGTGTAATGCAAGAAACCAAATCAATTGTTACATGTGCACCAACTATTAGCTCTGAAACTTACCTATATACATAACCTAAACAGTAATTAAAGCATATATATGTGCACCAACCATTGATTCTTAAATTACCAACTTGTTTATATAATATTCAGTATTAAACTGGGCAGTTAGTGGAATTTGATAATTGATTATTTTCACAAGAGACTTGTATAGTTGGAATAGTTGAAAGTAGTAACGATCGGAAACACTAATCCATTAAAGTGAACAACATAGATATTTTGATTAGCTGATAATTTTCATGGCATTAGTTGGTTTAACTCTAATTTCAGTTCATTGATTATTTAACATGACATTAATTGAGGTAATCAGTTCTCATAGGTAATCATTGATATTAAATTATTTACCCAGCCATATTAATTCAGTATTAATGGAGTCCAGGTACTGCATCATATTAAATGATTTTGTTTTCACCTTTATAAAGAACAGAACACCCTATGCAGCAGAGCACCAGGTGATTTACATGGGTATTACTAGCTGTGTATGTGCTGTCCTAATAATGTTGGTTATATAATGTATTAAACTTTACCAGTGTATATTAACTTGATGCATGTTCATTAAGAAATAATGCTAAAGCCTTTGAATATATATATATGCCACATAACCTTTATATTTAAACTTGCTATATTTTTTCAACTATTTACAGTCAGATGGTGTTTTCCCTTCACAGATGTTAAAGATCATTCTCCTCCACTGTTTCCTTTCTACTGCTGCACTCTGGCACTGTTCTAGCCTAATATGAATCCATTCTTTGACATCATCCATATTCTTCTCTTCCTGCCTGTCTATTGCAATTTTACTTTACCACTAAAGATGTCTTTCTTTAAATTTTTGTACCCTATGATTTATACTCTGTACCTCAGCATATGATATATCCACTCTACTTTTTTTATATATGTAAATAACTTCTCTTTAATCTCTGCTTTTTCCATCACTGCATCATTTTTAGTTTCCCTGTCCAGTTCATTTGCATCATTTTTCTTGTGTACTACATTTTTTTAAAGCCTCCAATCTGTTTTAGATATATTATCTATTGTCACTATTTTTGACCCCTATAAGAAAGCAGACCACACATAACACTTCATTATTCTTATTTGGACTTCTTTGGCAATTTTCTTGCATGTTAATAATAAGCGAATACTGTTAAAAGTAGATCTTACTATCTCAATTCTTCTCTGTGGGACCTTCCATCTTCTGAGTAGATGTCCTAAATAAATAATCTGATCTACCTGTTCCAAGATGTTTTTGTTCACTCTATTTCATGCTCTTGGGATATCTTTCCTCTCTGACACAACCATCACTGTTATCTTCTTCATATTTAACTGTAGCCCAAAAGTTTCACTTACTTCTTTGCTTCTATCCACCAGTACCTGTATATCTTCAATACTATTTGTCATAGTGTTGTATCATCTATTTACCACTCTTCTTCCAAATTTTAAGCCATATACTTTATTTGTTGTTCTAAAGGTGGATTTGGAATAATAACCAAGGAAACCTAATGACAACACACTTCCTTCTCTTACTTTCCTTCTGTCAGTTCCCCATCTATTCTCTTGTCTCCAGTAAGGTTGACCATTATGCTAGTATTTTCTAGTCATTGTATCAGTTCTTTGTAACTTACATTATCAAACACCTTTTCATGGTCAGTGAAACATATTTAAATATCCTGAATAATTTGATATACCATTCATAGATATATTTTTAAATTACTGATTCCTCATGTACCTTTTCCACATCTGAACCCATACTGATATATTGTTATTTATCTTTTTTACTGGTTCTTTCACTAAAGCCTGCCAATATATACAGTTTGCCTTTTTTGTTTAACCTTAATGCATGTACATTAACAACAGAAACTACCAATATAGGTACTCTGATCTCTCTGACTAAAATTAACATGTGTACATTGAGTATTCACTACAAATAGTACCAATATGTATAACTAAAGTTTATACTATGGAATTATTTTCTTTACTTAGGTTACCTTTGACATAATGATTAGTATACATATACTATCAATTAACTTTTCGTATGAAATCTTTATTAATAGATTATCATTTAATGATGTTTTTAAGTCTTGGTAAGTAAACATTCTTGCAAACAAAGAAAGAAGGAAGTGACTATTATCTTGGATCTACAAACATGAGACAATTTTATTGATTCACTGTAAACTTTTTAATGTGTTTACAAACATTAAAACATTTTCTGTGATCCATTGTTAATTTTGTTGCACTTACAGACATTAAAAAATTACCATGATTTTTAACCCTCATGCACTTACAGACATAAGCAAGTTTACCATGGTTTGTTAACATTCTTATACTTTTAAATACTAATGTTTCCATGATTCCTTGTTCAAAATAGATGTGACAGAAATCTGTGAAAGTTTAAAAGTGTGGACAACTAATATTGATTGACCCTAACTTATGGTTCCTTTTTGTTATCTTTTAGCTGCATCAATTGCCATACTGCATTAAAACATGCATGGATATCTACATGAGTGCTTTAATATTTTAGCTTATCACCAGTTACTATTAAAAAAATTAGTGGTTGTATAGAACTGACAATCTTTTTAGCACACATTCATTTGTTTTGAACATTGTTTTTGTAGTTTGATTTTTTGTTTGATAGTATTTTTTTACATATAATTTAAGTTTTTTTTTCTTCTTTTAGTGGTAGTTGGAAACCTTTACTTATTCATCAATGTAAAAAGTATCAACAAGTTGAATATGTTTTTATGCTATATTTCAGTTGTACATTTGGCTGTACTATAGTCTAGTAGTAGTACAATGTGGCCAGAGCATTTTCTTAACAAGTGCCTTTAGTTGGGATACATTATAAGTAATCATACAGTAAAAATAACCTTCTACATATAATTTAGTTAATAGATTTATTTTTCTTAGTTGACATGTAATATTTATAAATAGTTTATGGTTTTTAAAAGTATTTATTTAATAATTTAAAAACCTTTTACCTTTTGGATTCTTGATATTGAATTAAAAATTTTAACAGTATTCATTTGCCAGTTTTAATCACAAAAATTTATTTTTGTGAAAAGCTAGAGTTTTTTAACAAATCAGTTAATTATTTTCATGCACTTTTTATTTTGGAAGTGACAAAGAAGGAATACTTTTTATAAAACAAACTTGTTAGAATGTATATGTTGGGATAGGAATATTATTTATCAAGACGTAATACATTTTATGAATTGTTGTTTACTCTTCTGGTAAAAATATAAGTAATGATTGTTTTCTCCATTTTTTACATTGACATATGCACATGTGATTAATATATAACAGGCACATCAGTGTATTTATAATTAAATGACTATCTCTTAAGGAAATATACATGACTGTAAATTCATGAAGGTTTACATTCACCCTTCTTGGTTCTTTTAATCTTAAAAATATGATGCAAGTCTTGACTACTATCTTACATAAACAACATATGAGGATATTTAGTCAACATACAAATGTGGGAAAAGTATAATATAATAATTTTTCACCTGGTTACAGATTATCAGACTCTTTGTTTCTCTTAAGTTGTATAAATGAACATTGTAGCTTTGTAAATTGCAAATATTTGACTAATCTATACATCCATCTCAGTTGGTGCTGGTTTTCAAATTAATTTAATGGTTTTATAAGTCACCTGTTTCTGAACAGTATGTGCTTATAACAGTTTAAGTGAACTCTTTTGACTATCTAAACTGCAACTGTTTGATTAGTGTGTGCTTTTAATTTGTTAAAATGAGCTTTGTGATTTTTTTATATGACAACTGTGTCTGATTTGTCTGTGCTTTAGTTGGTGACACTAGTATATTTAAAATCACAAGTATTTGACTAGCCTGTGATTTTAATTTTGTTTTGTCATTAATGTGAATTTATCACCTGCAGTGCCAATGACGTTGAAATGGTAATTAAAATCACAGTGAAGTGAGATCCTGCATTATTTACCATGTGACACCCCAGTGGAATATTAGGAAAGCAGTTGATGAATGATCATTATGGATCAAAGAAACTACTTATCAAACAACTGAAACTAACTTGCTCTTAACCAGAGCCAGTCTTATGCTTCACTGTTAATATAAGTGTAACTTTATTCTACTTCTACATATGTGAATGAGCTTTGAAATTCTCATTCACAATATCTGACAGTATGTGTATCAAACATGTTTAAATAAGTAATGACTCTAAACATAGACTGAATTACTTTCTAAGATTGTAGTGTTTCAAAAAATACCAGAGATCAGGTTGAACAACCCAATTCCTGTTAATCAAATTAACCTCTCATATACCCATGTCTGTACCTTGTTATAGCAAAATTGATACACCATTTAATAAAGTAATTTCACTGGAACTACCTAATTTTGGTTTTGTTAAAAATTATATTTCACATTAAATTGGTTTAGTTGAGGTGCAAAGTGTCTCACAGGGACAACATAGTAAAAAATCCCACTTAAAAATGTTTCATAGAAGATGTCTACTGTTAGACACTGTATACTAAAAAAACAAGAAAATCTTGAGGTTTTCATCTATTTAAAAATGTAGCCAAACTCATGAGGGTGGATGAAAGGTTACTGTTAATTATCATTTAACTTGAAAATACCAGAATTTGTTATAAGTATAATTTTCAGAAGGTTACTTTATATATTGTTCATGAAAACGTTTTGTTATTCTTTATAAATAGACAAGTAGTATTCTGGAAGAAAAAGACAGTTATATTGTTCATCTAGAAGAGAGAGTGACTATTTTGGAGAAAAGGCTTGAAGATTCATCACTTCCTAATGATGAGAAAGTACAATCTCTTCTATCAGAGGTAAAACAGAATAAAAGATAACAAAAAATTGTTTTTGAAACCATTAAAAACATTTTTAAATAGTCAAAGTGCACATGTCACAACCTTGTACAGAGTTACATTCAAAAGTTAACTAATTCTCAATACGGGCTCGGTCAATTTGACCGACCATGTGACCTTTTTGTACTTGTTTAGTCTTTATAGATTTAATACTTAACTCTAAATATAGTTTGTATATTTTCATGAAATTTGGCAGTCTTTCATTTAATATTACAAGTCTTTCACATACAAAAAATCATATTTTTTACTGAAAAATTTTAAATAAAATAAAATAAAGATTTGTCCATTAATATATTAAGTAGTTGTTTTGAATAGTCTGTGTGGAAATAATTTTCTTGCTAAAATTAAAAATGCTTCTCCTCATCTCAAAAATCTCAAATTTCCTTTGTGTAATCCCTAAAACCTCCTAAATGTATTTCAAACGTTTTTTTTATTAAAACTTTATTGTTTATCTGTTATGTTTTGTACTCCATGTCAAAACGTGATTGGTCAATTCGACTGACCTCATAACGAGCAAAAAAAAAAATTGAAATAAACCTAAATTACCCTTTTTCTCTTTCTAGAATGACTTCAAATTGTAACGTGAAACTATGTTCGTTTATCCTAAGTAACTCTAGGTTTGTAACAGTATACATCTATTTCTAATTAAATTTTATTGTTTTATTGCTTTTCGAACCATGTGTAACTACTCTCTGTGCCATTATAAGTTTGTAAATCACTATGGGAACGTGCAGCTCACATTACGTTATTGAATTACATTACCCATGAGTTGCTCGGGTGCGTGCCTTATGAACCATTTTAATTATATTATTATTACTTATTTTACCTAATTTAGTGTTAAGTAACTTAAAAAGATCCATACTTTTAGATTTTAGTTATTTTGATAATAATAAACAAAGAATATATATGAAAAACAAGAAATAAAGTACTTACACATTCTTATTTTTTCTTGCCCTTGACTGTCAAGGACAATTAAGTATGATTTTTTATAGTAATTATAGTAATGCACTTAATAATTTTTAGTTAATTAAATAATCCACCAAATACTATAAACTAATAACATGTAAAAAAGTAGACAAGTTCACTTGCCTCTCGAAATTTTTCTGGCTTTCTAACTGTGCGACAAGAGCTGTTACAAATTCATCCAAGCTAGTTGTTAACTTTCCCATGGGACCAAATCTTGTACTGTGAGTGAAACTGATGATATTCTGTTCAGAATACAATGTTATACAATACTTCATTTGAAAGATGAAAATCTTGACTTTCTGTTGGTTATAAATAATATATAATGAAACATAAAAGAGAACAATCAACAAATTGTTAAAAAGAGGATGTGACAGGAGGGGTCTGATTTTCTATTTGATAGCTCTGTAACCAAACAAAATTGAAGACTAAAAAGTTATGGTTTGTCTGAGCACTAATGATTTTACAGAGTAATTTACGTTTAATTTCATACTTTTTCAAGGGATGGTGGATAAAATAGAGATGATGACATGCTAAGAGAAAATGTGTCACATGGGTTACTATCAGAATTTAAAAATCTGTTCTTTGCCAATTATCAAAATAAAATGGCTTTTAGTTATATTTATTAATAGTATAAATATATACTATGTTGTCATTGGATTCTTCTATGTTAGGTGTCTGTGACTTAGCGATAAATTCAACGATGAATAAACAGCACACACTTCACATGTTTTAAAATTAATATATATGTATTCAGAACAAGTTACCATATGTACAACAAAGTCTTCACACTACAGAGATTACAAGCATCTCGTAAACACTATTTATATAGTTCTCTTCTTCTTGTCAAAAGTCAACTTAGGCCTATTCAATTACTTTAGAATTTCAGTTGTCAAGT